ATGCAAGGAGTGGGGCCCAGCTGGGCTGCATGGAGTTCAATCAGACCCAGAGATGCAAAATTATGGGCCGAGCTGAATGGTGTTGCAGAGGAAGGGGCACAGCAGGGCATTCTGAAAGTTAAGATTTGGGGGTCTTTATCATCACCCTCAAGAAGGTGAAGCTCTTTTGCAAATGGGAAAGGGACCAAGAGACTGAGGGAGGGGGTTGGAGAGGGGTGTAAAAAGAATGAAGATGTACCACATATATGTACTGACTCCCCATGAGGAACGAAATCATGTACTACAAACATGTATTAATAAAAATAAAACTTTAAAAGTAAACAAAACAATTTTTTAAAAGGGCAACCAATTTAGGTGGGACTGTGTTGAAGTCAAGAACACTAGCACTAAAGCCAGCCAGCGTGGGTTTGAATCCTGACTCCTGTTCTAGCTCTGTGGCCCAGGGCAAGTTACCTCACCTGTCACTGCCTCAATTTCTGCATTTGTCACATGGGTGGCTGGGAGGGTTGGTATAACACATGTAAAACATTTACAGCAACTCCTGGCATAGCGTAAACTTTCAACAACTGCTCATTCTATTTGCGTACTAGCCCTGGCTGCATTTGAAATCCTTTGGAGAGAATTTCATGCTGTGGGAGGCATAGGGGAGTCAGCTACTACCTATGAAAACAGCTATTACGACAGGAGCCAAGCAGATTTAGACCAGTCAGCGTTATGAACTTATCACAGCTGCCTTGAGGGCCTGGCCTAGTTGTGCGACAACAGTGGACTGCCTTATCCGTTGACCAGAGGTAGACACACTAGAGGCAACCCTGGACAGCTGTGCCCTCTCCCAGGACAGGGCTCACACAAGATGGGAGAGCAGCCTGTACCTTGAGTCTCCCTAGCACACAGATTCCAGAGGGCCGATGTGGAGTGATCTCCCAGAGTGAGAGGGCCACAGAAGCCTTTGCTTCTGCTTGGGATTGCCTGGGAGGATGACACAGCAGTGATGGTAAACCTTTTAGAGCTTTCAATGATAACAAACATCCCGCTGCGGCACGCGTGCCATAGGTTCACCACCTCTGACGTAGAGGGAAGCCTAGCTCAGAGTGAGGCTCACCACAACACAAGCTTCATATTCATCTCAACTGGGTGGCTTTTTCTTGATTTAGCAAGAGCCATTTAGAGTGTGGTAAATTTTTAGTTCACTTTTGGATGGTATGCCGGCTTTGTTGAGTAGATTAAGAAGATCACTGTTACCTTTGTTGCACCTTCTCGAGGGTTCTTGGCATGTGTAAGAGCCTAGGGAAGGATGTGGGGGTATAATTTGGAGCAGCTGAGAATCATCAGCTAAAGAAGCCTTATCCCACTTGGTTCAATTAGTTGGCTTGACCCTCCCAACAAGCATGGGGCTGGTCCAAGGACTTGTCGCCAGCAAGCAAGTGGGGGACAGGGTTCCATTCTAGAGCTTCTTTACTGCTGTGCCCGTTTGCCTCCCTAAGCCTTGATTTGGGAGATGTTTTCTGAAAGCTTTTAATGAGGCTTACATAATCCTGCTGCCAGGATTACAGGACTAGTCAGGGCCTTGCATTTGTCCCACAGGCTCCCCTCGTTTTATGTGTGGAAACAGAGGCCCGGAAGGCAGGCACTGGGCAGCCCCCAGGCCTACCAACTCAAAAGCACCACCTTCCCTTGATTTTGTCAGAAGCGGATTAAAGAAGAAAGTGAACTTCGTTGTGTGCCTGAAATGGCTTATTTTGGGGAGGGGCCAGAGAGAAGCACAACTTACTCCCCTCCTATCAAGAATACTGAGGATTCCATTGCAATACGCAGATATGTGGTTTAAATGCTGATTATTGTCCTACCCCTTTCCAAGCCTTCAAGTTTTTCTCCTTTCCACAGGGAGTTAGAGATCTTCCAGGTGTGAGGCTCGACTGCACTACTTGGTTCTGCAGTGGACATTATTTCCACAGAGAAATGATTGTAAATGGTACCTTTTTAGTTTTCAACTTTTACTATCAATTTACAGAGAAAGGATTAGAACCTCGTAGTTCGAGAACAGATGAGGAAATAATATGCCATGGTGGCTGGGCGTGGTGGCATGCACCTGTAATCCCAGTCTTCGAGGGCTAAGGCAGGGAGATTGCCATGAATTTGAGGCCAGCCTGGGATACATAGTGAGTGCAAGGCCACTCTGACCTATGTTAGCAGGACCCTGTCTCAAAAAAAGAAAGAGAGAGAGAGAGGAAGGAAGGAAGGAAGGAAGGAAGGAAGGAAGGAAGGAAGGAAGGAAGGAAGAAAGGCCATGCTGGAGCAAGGATCAGAGAGCAAGGGGAAGTGAAGTGGTAGGAGGGGGTGAAGGTGGATTCTTCAGCAAACTGGGAGCTGAGGGAAATCCTTTGTCAGGATTTTTGAGGAGTCAAAGCAGGGTTTACATGTGTTTATTATAGAGAGCCCCATGCTGAGGCGGAACAACAGAGTTGTTAAGGAAACAAATCTGGATCAGACTACCAGGATTGAAATAGTAGCTCTACACCTTAAAGTTGACCAGATTTCTTAAATGTGTCTTAGTTTTCTCATTCAAAAATGGGACTAGTAATAGTTTTATCTGACAGGGTTATTCTAAGGATAAAATGAGTTAATGTGTATAAAGTGCCTAGAGGAGCAATGGGAACAGAAAAGTCCTGAACATTGTTTATGATGCAGCTGCTGCTAATGGAAAACAGAACTAAAAATTAAACTTGAAGTCAGCAGAGATTGGAAAGAGGAGATAGTTGTTTGAGAAAGTTTATTTTTTCATCTTGTAAAATGAGAGGTCAGTAAACACTTTAAAATTGACAAATGAAGAAATAGAGGCAGAGCTATATTTATAGTGATGGAGGCAATCCGCAGAATTAAAAATAGGTCTAGTTAAGTGTGGTTGTTGCTGGGGAATGAAGCTCTGGGAAGGGAGCTTTCTATTTTGAGGTTTTTATTACCATAAACATATATTTTATTTATTCATTGCCTACTTTTTGAGGTATAGTTAACAAGCAGTAAACTTCAGATATTGAAGGCCTTTAGATGGGTGTAGAGTAACTCTGTAGAGTAACTCTGACTGCTGATCACGACTATGACCCTCTTCAGCTGGAAGTAGCCAGAACGGTCTTCGCCCTTTGCCCCTCACAGCAGTTAGGGGTACTTCTTCAGAGGGGTAAATATTGCAGACAGGTAAGTTGATTAGATAGCTTGTAGGCAGTCAGACAGGACCAGCCCATGAGGAGCCAACATGGAGGAGAGTGAAGACACATTCACTGAAGGTCAGCACTGTAAAAGGAGAGAAACTACCACAGCCGCGTAGGATGAATAGCAGTGATTGATATTGTAAACAGGTATCAATCACCTGGGGGGGGGGCAAGGTCTTAACCCAGCCTCTCCAGGAAATATCCCTGACTCCCACCCTTACTGAAAATCCTTGTACACTTGCTACATGACTTGCTCCCCCATTTAATCAATATTACCTGGGTGACTGTGCTTGTAATCTTATTGGTTGGTCATGGTTTTGTCCCACCTCATGCCCACCTTGTAAATTTCCATTAGATCTTATAGTTTTGTCCCACTTTGTACCCGCCTCACCACATGGCTTTGCTGTATAAAACATCCTTGAAAAGTGGGGTGGGCAGGCATCCCACTTTCCGGTCCCCCTTCTTTCTCTCTTAGGCAGAAGTTTCTCCCAATAAATTTTTCCTACTCTTAAAAAAAAAACAAGCAGTAAACTTCATATATTTAAACTATACAACTTGGCAAGTTTTCACATATGTACATACTCAGGAACCCATCACCGCAGTTGAGGCACACATGCACCTTCTCTCCTCCCCCCAAAGCCACACTGAATCTTGTTATTAAGTAGTCTTACAATTTGGTAGCTACGGGCTTTAATTCTTCTTGGGGTACAGCGTCACTTAATCTAGAATACCTTTTTGACTTCATAATGAAGCATCCATGTTTTTTGAAGTCTTTATAATAATGTGATTTTTACATCCCTCCTGAGTAAAACCATAAAGCTAATTAAGAACCAATGGTGATTGTCTTTTTTGATGATGTGTTTTTCATAAAACACCCAGTGGTTAGATGCTAGAATTGCCGACTTTGTAGTGGGGCAGAGACAATTAAGATCCTCCCCAGGCAGTTAAAAAACTGTTTGCTTTTCAAAATTTCCACCCATTTGCAAGCTGTTTCCTCTGACCAGGGCTTTCTGAATGTGTAGGCTTCATGTTCAATTAGGATTCACAGGCCACAGCACAAGGATAATATTGCTGAAATCAGTGTTGCAGTTGAATACAGCAGGTCTTCCCTTTGCGTCAGGGACCAGCCACTACTTCCTGTCCAGAGCTTCACTTAGCCATCCATATCCATTGGTCCACGACTAGGGAGCAGCACCGTGTTCGCGGTGGGGTGGCCACTTGGAGTTTAATTCTGGAGTCCCAAGTATGATTGAAAATACAATTCCAATGGAAATCAGGTTAAGCTTTGTGATCACCTCAGTTTTATGATACTGTTCATTAACACTATGGCTGAACTGTGCTCTGGGTCCAGTGTGGGGGTTTCTGTGGTTTTTGTTCTGTTTTTGTGGGCGGATTTGGAACCATAACTGCCTTTTTTATATCATTGTTTCTATGTAGAAAAGGAATTCAGATTGGAAACAGAAGCACAAACGAACTTTTCAAACATCCTGTTCAGGATAGCTTGTAACAGCACTTGACAGAAGGGTTGTTTCTAAAATAACATAGTTTGTCCTAGCCTAAGTGTGATGCATTTCTCCAAATCATGGACTTCCCTGAAAATCACAGGTCACTTGTGTTAGGATTGATTTTATATTGAATGAAACTTCGAGGACAAATGTGTTAGGATTGATCTTGTTGGTTTTATTTAGAGGATTATGATGTTTCTTAGGGAATGGGCTATTGAAATTAATGGCATCTTTCACAGGTCGATAGTAACATGTCCATGATGATGATGTTCTGTATTTTAACTAACAGGTTTTCAGGAGGCCTGATATAAGGGTAAGGATGTTCGGCTTTCAGCAGATGGACCTCCTACTTGTGTGTGTCTGTGCTTTATGAAACAGTCTATTTAGTGTTCTTTACCTTCTCACTGATTTTTATGAGTCAGATCAATTTGCTTTGCTGTATCATAGCTTTAAGTGTTCACTAGAAACGCTTTATTTGTTACAGTGTTTTCATGTGCAGTAAAAGCCAGTGTGCTGAGGGCAGGATGCTAAACTTGTTATGAGTGTGCACTGCTGACTTGCCTTGTACCACATGCCTCCTGCCCAAATGCGTTGTAAGTCTAGGCCTGCAGAAGCCTCTTTTAACCTAGCTTCCCATGTGATTCATGCAGGAGAATTTAGCAACCACAAAAAGTTCTCAGTTGTCTATCCTATCTAAGATTTTGGGTCATGTTTGCACTGCATGTTTAATACAAAAAGCAGAAGTTCTAATCTTGAAAAAAAATTAGCAAAATTAGCCCCAGTTAGTATTTTTGGAAATACTGATATAGTGGACTATAGCTTATATTTTCCTCATGATTTTCCTTCCCTTTATTTCAGAATATTCATAAAGCAAGACAAAGATTGGTAATGTGCATGCATTTAACTCTTAGTATTGGACATGGAAAATTAACCTGTTTTCATTAGACGAAAACAATGTAGATTTTGACAGTATACTTTAATGACTTGTTTAAAATTTTTAATCTTATTGAAGCCAGTGAAATAGTACAAAAATAACCAAGTTAAAGTCAAATTCTTGTTTTTTTACTTGGTTTACCTTTTACTCTTGTTTCACCACGTTTTCTTTTGCTTGCGGTAATCATTTTTTCATTGATTCACATTGTTTGGCTTTAGACTTGCATGGACTTTGAAATGCTGTACTTTTGTACATTCATTTTTCTGTTTTAAAGATTTTAATGATTCCATTTGTTTTCCTTGTATTTAAAAATGGAATTTAAAAACTGCATTTGAAATTGCACTGCCTTGAAAGCTATCCCAAAGTGATGATAAAATAAAAAAAAAACGCATCAAGTATTTATTGTACTCTATAGACAAAAATGAAAGGTGGGAAACAGTAAATTCCTTTAAAATTTTGCTTCTTCATTAATTACCTTTTAAAGAAATGCAGTCATTGGAACCAAAGTTTTATGAAGTAAAAATATATGCTAAATTTTAATATTTCAGCCTCGGATTTGATACAACTTTGTAAAGGTATTATAATTTGAAATCTTCAATGTTCATATTTATACCACCTGCCAAACTAAAAGTCTAGCTTTTAGAGTTTCCAAAACTAATTGATTCTGTAAAGAAATTAAGTGTACCTTTAAAGGGATTGGTAAAACTTAAAGGATGTATGAATATTTAGTGCTTTGAAGCCAGTTGTCAGTACTGCAGTTAAAATATTTAATATGATACTGATTTGTAAATCATAGTACTTAGCAATAAGAAACATTCACAAATATATGTATATGTAAAATCTTCAGCATGTGATATGTGCATGCATGCAGTGGCACTGACCCTGGGCAACATAATGGTCTCTCAGAGTATATGAATACTTACTGTGTCTAAGATACATGTCTGTGAACTGCCTTTGTATTTTGGCTTGACTTTGCCCTTTACCTGGTTTCTGTGATATGCTTTATTTTCTATGAATACATCATATGCCTGTTATTTTGTTTCTTTGCTGTATGTTATAGTGTTGCTTGATTTTAAAAAGTGCATTCTTCGAAACTCATGTTTGTTTGGTTTTCATTTTTCTACCCCAACACAAACACAAAATAGATATTCCATTTTAGACTGAGGATGCTATAGATGGCCTACACATTATTTCCTTAACTCCAGGGGGCAAATGTGATTTGCAAAGCCGTGAAAGGTGTATCAACTTTTACATGCTTACTGTCTCCTTACAGAACAAATTCTGTCCTTTCACCTGTCTGTTTGCATGTATTTCTTTCCCCTCTCTGCCTTTTCTTGTCCATGCACCTGGTGCTGTGCAGGAGATACAGGAGGAACACAATGGCTACCCTTCTGAAGCTGAAGCTGATCAGGTGGCAAGTTCTACATGTTCATCTGTTTGTAGCTGCAGATTGTATATCTAGAAGTCATCTCATACTAGATCTCTAGACGATAAGCAGAGTTTTTCAGATGCTTTTACTACTACAGTAGTGCTCTCTTGTCCAAATCTGGTAGATTCCATTGTGACATTATTTGCAAAAATTGGTTTATCCAACATATTGTCAACTAGAAATGTGTTCCTCTGTGCTCCTTGGTTTCCCCCGATAGAGTTATAAATGAGGTTGGTAACCTTCTGTCACCGTGGGATTCTGAAGTGCCTTTACATGTGTGTCAGGGGTACACCTTGAGAGCGTGGACTTTGCTTATTGAGATATGTATGGTCAGTGCTCAGCATAGTACCCAGTACTTTATACGTATTTGTGGAATGAGTCCATATTTTTTATATTAATCTGAACACAGTATCATTCCTATTTGATGGTGCACTCTTTACTCAGTACCCCTGGATCCTCTGTGGAGTCCCACAGCCACAGTGCTTTCTTTCCCTGCTGCTGGTAGGGAAACTTAAGAGGCAAGCAGCTCCAGGGATTCATGGCAAGCCCCAGGTGCTCGGTTGTGCCTTTGCCCTTATCACCCAGCCCTGCCTCCATTGGTGACCCCAAGAAAGAACGCAATTTGCAGACCACTGCTTTGGGCATGTGGTTGTTATATATACTGCCTGTCTAGAAGCTTAGATTCAGGCTGAGGATGAAAGTAAAGGAGAGGCCAGGGTCACCTGAGTGGGCTTAAGCCCTCAGGGACAAAGTCAACTGCTTTGGGCATGTGGCTGTTATATATACTGCCTGTCTAGAAGCTTAGATTCAGGCTGAGGATGAAAGTAAAGGAGAGGCCAGGGTCACCTGGGTGGGCTTAAGCTCTCAGGGACAAAGTCAGGGGGCTGGAGACCTTAACTGGATTTGCAGGGCCACAGGAACAGGCTTGAGATGAGATCTTCAGAGAGAATTCCTCAGTTGGGCAACATTGGACAAAGGCACCAAGAGGAAAAGGGTGTGTTTATGAGATCAAATTTATTCTAGCCTTAGAATGTGCTGGATAAATCAAGGGTCAAATCATGTCCTGTGCAACCTGGTAGTTGCAATAAAAGCTTAATATAAGTGTGAATTTTATCTCCTAACACCAGCTTAATAAAGGAAATCTACTGTATTCACCACTCCGCCCAAGCCTTTAAAAACTGTTTTTTTGAGTTCCTATGCTCAAGCTAAATGTTCTTTTTCCAAATGAACCTCCCTCCTATGGGGAAATCTGAAGCAATGGGGTCATTTCTTTTATTCTGATTGTTGCTTTTTCATCATTTACAAAAGCATGTCCCAGATTTAATTATCACAAGCAAGGGGTTTGTCTCTGTGTTTTTCCAACACTGTCATGACTCATAAATGCACAGGTGTATCCTGCCACACTTGATGGAACTATGGGAAGAGAAAAGAAACACTTGATCCTCAGCCTGGATCTTGAGAGCCTTGTGCATTCTTGAAATGGTCCCAGTCACTGCTGTCTCCTACCTGCAATGTTTCATTAGCTGGTCCTGGGTTTAGGACTTTAAAGTGTTCCATGGGGCTTCTGGCTTAATAGGAATCTTCCCCAGCTCAAGATTCTGTTGATTAGAGCAGCTTGCTTTCTTAAATGTGTTTGAAAATAATCTATCCTCATTTATTTTTAAATATAAGTTAAAGAACAATTTAGCGTAGTGAGTTCAAAGCCAGCCTGAACTACACAGAGGAAAAAAAAGAATTTAGGTCTGTATATAACATATACCACATAATAACATATACCATATAATATATAATGTTGGGCCATGAAAATATGCTTCAACAGTGGAACATTTGAAGTAACTCAAAACTCTGACATTAATTAAAACAGCTTTCTCACTTTGCAACTAGCTATAATTAGTCACTAATCTAGGCACTAAAGCAGACTTTCACATTAAGGCTTCTTTTAAGATTGGTGATCTTTTAGTGTTTCTAAAACCAGACCTTTAAAAGTATATGCAATATATTGGTTTATGCTTTATTGCATAAAAGCTATATTTCCAAATCAGATGTGAGTATAAAAATGAATTTATAAATGGTTCTTTATATCCTCTTTAATGTGTTAATTCTTTAAATTTTTTGGCTGAAAAAAGTCTTAACCCAATCTAGTAAAAATTCAAATTGAATAAATTGTTGGGAGGTAATAATAAATCCTAATATATATTACCTTAACTATACATCTTTTGTTAAGGAGAAAGATGAACCATGTTGTTTTGTGCCCTCCCAGTAGAATAGATGTATCCTGATCAACATTTGGCATTGAATTTACTATTTATATTTTGACATTTTTCTTTATTGATTTTATAAAATTTTATGACACTAATATGTATAATGTTTCTAAATTGGTTTTTAAGTCCTTTTAATAAAACATAATGAAATATACTTATAACTATGAAAAATAATCACCGTTATTTTGATTTGGATCATAAAAGATATCCATTTTCAAATATTTTGCTTTACAAAATGATACTGAATACTTAGTGTCATCCAGCCTGTTTTTCCCTGAACACTAGTAGCCTCCTGGTGTTGACAGATATTCTTTGGATAAGCAGTCCCTGATCAAATATTGTAGGTATGAGACTTGCATTATACTCTAGCGCCCTCTTGCTGGTTCCATGTACATTAACACACTAAAGACAGCTCACTTTAAAAAACAAAAACAGGAGCGGGGATTTAGCTCAGGGGTGCCGCCTGCCTCAAAAGCACAAGGTCCTGTTCGATCCCCAGTACCAAAAAAACCCCCCAAAATCCCGCAAGCCAGCCTAACTTACCAGTTTAACCCTGAATTTCTCAAACTTTTTAAAGAACTATTCACATCTCTTGGGAAATTAGTGAAACACAGCTTGGTAATTTCTGGGGTTTTGATCACGTTACTCTTATTCATGACACATTATGTCAGATATCCCAAAGAGAAAGAGACCGGTTTCCTTGGTAGCATCTCACAGGGTGACAGTACCTTGGAATAGGCCTGGAGTTCAGACTCAGTCCCTAGCTTTGCCATTCAAGAACACCAGTTTCGGACCTTTCCTGACTTATCTGGCACTCTCCAACTGAGGATACAAGAGACTTGCTACTGGGCTGTAATGACAGTCTGGTCATTTAGAAATGTGGGCACACAGCGTGCCAGCTGTCCAAGGCATCCTTCTCTTAGTATCACTGTAGCCTGGAAACCTAGTAAGTCATTAGCAGTTTTCTTGGTGAGTGTGAAATTAGTTCAAAAGTGAATTGGCTTGAGAGCTATCTGATGAACATACTTTGTTCCACAGTAGAAACGAATAGAGGTTAGCATCTCTTACCCAAAATGCTTAGGACCACAAGTATTTCAGACTTTAGCTTTTTTTCCAGATTTTTGGAATATTTACATGTATACAATGAAATATCTTGGGGGATGGGACCCCAGTTTAAGCATGAAATCTATTTTTGTTTGGTGTACACCTTGTACACACAGCCTGAAGGAAATTTTATACAGTGGTCTTAGTGTTTCCACTTTTACCCATCACATGAGTTCAGGTGTAGAAATTTCCACTGTGGCATCATGTCAGTGCTCAAAAGGTTTTTTATTTTTGGAGCATTTCAGATTGGGGATTCGGGGACTAGGGATGTCCACCCACTCTTACCTGCCAGATGAGAGCATGTTCTCATGGCCGTGTTCCCTGGCACACATTTTGTGTGTCTGGGCTGCAGCACATGAGCCTAGGTCATTCCTTAGTTACTGTCCTTAGACTATTCTCTGGTTATTTTCATTAGACTTGGGGATTTCCCAAACTATCTCATAGGCTGGGTCATTTTTACAGTTAGCTAGGCACCTCAATCTGAACTTTTTCCTGACCTTTCTAAACTCTGGAGGCATCTTATAATAGCTATATGTGTAGTGATTACAGTATCTGTCCTGTCAAGCCATTTCTGTATTAATGCTTTCTAACTGTGAAATGTAAATATGTTATAACCCTTTGCTAGAACATGCAGCATGATGTCCTGTGATGCTGAGCTTTGAAATTTGTCTTTTAAGGGGGGGTTACATTTTGCACGCTTCTGTAGCCTTATTGAAAGGGTACAGAACACCAAAATTCTTCTCAGGTATACAAATGGAATGAAAGATTTACTCCTGTTTGGTTTTTGCCAGGCTCTGAGGGATGGAAATAAGCTGGCACAGATGGAAGAAGCACCACTTTTTCTAGGAGAATCAATTAAAGCCATTGGTAAGTTTAATGTGTACACTTTGCTTATAGAGATTCATAAAATGAAATGGTACTTTATTCATGAACTTAAGTGTTGTATATGTTGGATATAAGCCAGACCAATTAGGGGGCAGATAGACTGGGCCTATTCATTCATTTTTTTTGGGGGGGTACTGGGAATCGAACTCGGGACCTTGCGCTTCTGAGGCAGACAGTGGCACCACTGAGCTAAATCTCCGGCCTGGCCTATTCATTCTTACTAGTGTTGCCCTGACCTTCAGAGATAGAAGACTGTAGAGGTTTTGTTGAGCTGCATTTGAGTATTAGATTAGTTGCAGTTGAGTAATACCAACAGAGGAGGAGTCCGAATTTCCTTCATGAGCTAAGAGCTGACTAGACACACTCAGTGTAATGTCAGTTCACTGCTTTGTTGGAATCCTTCACATGAGGAAAAGGTATTGGCAGAAGAACTACATCATATTTTAATAAGTTTTGAAAGCATGGCAAATAATTTTTTTTCTTTTTGGTACTGGGGATTGAACTTAGGACCTTGCACTTGCCAGGCAGGTGCCATCACCGACCCTGGCAAATAAGTTTTAATGGCTTATAGGATTCAAAAAAGAATGATTTTAGCGCAAGCAATGGACATGTGTTGCCATCCTGCATTTTAAAGGTGATGGCATGAGGATTCCCATATCTCTCCATGGTGGATTGGCAGGCATTTCAGGAGGTGGTGGATGGTGCCATGGGTAGACAGGAGGGGCAGCTCAGTGCCATTTTCTTATCTCATCAGTTGGTTAAGTTGACAATCTGCTTTGCTAGGCTGGTATTTCCTTCTTCCTTTATAACTCCCTCCCAAAGATGTGTACTTGGTCTCAGAGTATGGTCATCTTGTATCAAGAGCGTTAGAGTCCTGGGGTCTCCTTCCAGAGCCTCCAAATAACTATTCCTGCAGAATATCCCACTTTGTGGCTCTGAACCTGTCCATTCTTGCTTATCCATCCTGGGCTCTGAAACTCTCTTTCCTTGGCTTCTGGGACCTGATTCTGTCCTAGTGTTCTATTGTCTCTGGCTGGTGCTTCTTTGGGTGTTCCAGCCCTGCCCCATCTTGCCTTCCAAAGGACCTGTTTAAAATGCAGAGCAAAATATGCCATAGCCCTGCTTCTCCTGCAGACAGTAAACTACAAAGATTTCAGTACACAATGTGAAGAGGGGTTTTGTCACTTTATTTCCATCTTTATCAGTAGGCCAAAGTCCACTTAGAAGAGATTGCAGCTGATGTAGGTGATTGATTACTCTGTACATCGGACTTCTGTTTTGAATTAGCAGGGAGTGTTATAAAAGCTTGGATTGTAAGCGCTCAGTTGTCTCAGTAAGAAGAGAAGGCTGACTTTAGTGCAGCCAGCTCTGGGCCTGGTGCACTTTCTCTCCTATTTGCTTCTCCTTTCACTCTGGAAATGTGGCTCTGGGAGAGGGAAGCTCCTGCCTGGCCCCATTTCTCTCCCAGTCATTGGAAATATCTTTCAGTTGTATGTTAAAGACATCTGCACATCCTTAAACCATCTAAGTATGTTTTAAATTCCTCCAGCGGCTTGCAGAGGGTAAGTAAATTAACCCCTACTTTTAAATTAAGTATGTTCCTGAAGGCAAAGTATTAAAGTAGGTCATTGTGAAGCGAAGTACTCCCCTATGGAGTATCATTTCAGTTTGTCATTGTCAGAATATGAAGCTTTGACATGTGTATATCTGGGAAGCCATTGTCAAAGTTAAGGTAATGAACATATCTGTTACCCCTCAGCAGTTTCTTTATGCTCCTGGATAATCCCTCTATCCTGTGCATTCCCCTCATCCTCAAGCACTGCAGACTATAGTGTGTTAGTCAGCTTTTTGCTGATGTGACCAGATACCTGAAAAAAAAACCTACTTAAAGGAGGAAGGGTTTATTTTGATTCATGGTTTCAGTCCACCCTCAGCTGGCTCCATTGCTCTTAGGCCTGTGGCAAGGCAGAAACTTCATGGTGGAAGGGCGTGACAAAAGAAAGCTGCTGTCCTCATGGCAGCCAGAAAGCAGAGAGAGCAGGAAAAGAGCCAGAGTGTGTTGGGAGAGGAGGGATGGGGATCAGCTAATAGTCCCCAAGGTCATAGCCCATGATCCACTCCCTTCAGCTAGCCCCACCTGTTTCTGTTGCTGCCCAGTAATGCCATCAAATTATTAGACTGCAAAGCCCCCAGGATCCAGTCACTTCCCAAGGCCCCGTCAGCAACCGAGCCTTCAACACAGTGAGCTGTTTGGAGGTCCTGTCTTTTCAAACCCTAACAGTTAGTTTATATTTTCTAGTGTTTTATAGAAATAAAATAATAGAGTATGTTCTTTTTTTGTCTTCTTCCCAAATAATTATTTTGATTTTCCGTGACATGCTATTTTAGCAGTATCTCACCAATTATGATGTGTTTTCATTTTTATTCAGTTCCAAATACTTTTGAATTCTCCTTTTGATTTCTTCTTTGATTTTGGGGGTATTTAGGAGTGTGTTGTTTAATTTCCATGTAGTTGTGAGTTTTTAAAACTTCTGTTATTCATTCTAATTTTATTTGTGTTCAGAAATCGTACTCTTTGAATTGAGATGTTACATAAATGTAACAATTCCCCAAAATGAATGTAATCATTATCTACTGCAAACTTGTACTAATAATTTTTTTTAAAAGAAATCATACTTTTTTATGACTTAAATATACTTATCAAGACTTGTATTATGCCCCAGAATATAGTCTATCTGGGTAAATGGTCTGTGTACACTTGAAAAGAATGTGTGTTCTGCTATTATTGATGGGCGTGATCTATGTATGTCCGTTGTGTTGTTTGTTAATAGTGTTGTTCAAATCTTTTGTTGCCTTATTTTCTGTCTACTTTGATAAGATTCATCATAGAGAATTTGTATCTGTACATGATATATCTTGCTTTTTTTCCCATTCCCCCTCCCTTCCACCTCTCTTCCTTTTCTTGTATGCAAAAGCTTTGTTTCATTTCTTTCCTTTTTTTTTGGTACCGGGGATCAAACTCGAGACCTTGAGCCTGTGAGGCAGGCAGTGGAACCACTAAGCTAAATCCCCAGCTTCATTTTTTCCTTTTATTTTCTCTTGTCCCTTTTTTCCTTTTCCCCTTTTCCCTCCCTTGTTCCCTTTTTCATTTGAACATTTTCTTCCCATTTCCTAATATCTGTTATACGTTTTAGTCCTTATTTCCACTTTTGGTTTCTCACCCTAGAGAAACAATGTGATATTTAAATATGCATGTCTGATTTATTTCACTTAAGAGTATGGTCTCAAGGTGCATCTGTTTAGCTAGAAATATCTCAAGCTCATAGATATTATAGCTTTCTTCTAATTAGTATTAATGTGACATGCTTATATTCATCTTCTGAATTCCAAATTATTTTTGCTTTTATATTTAAATTAGATTTCCTTTGTGCTATATATAGTTGAGTCTTGCTTTTGTCTTCAATCTGATAATCTCTGCCTTTTAATTGGGGTGTTCAGATGATTTACATGTTACTATATAAATATTAATATAATTAGGTTTAAATTCACTGTTTTCATATTTGCTTTCTCTCCTTTTTGTATTTATCATTTGTTCTCTTTTTCCTCTTTTTTTGTCATCTTTTGGCTTAATTGAGAACTTTTTAAGATTCCATTTTATCTTTTATGTTTACATAGTATAGTAGCTATAATTTCTTTGCTTTATATTTTTAACTTATCACAGACCACCTTCAACTGATTTTACACTGCTTCATGTATAGGATAAGAACTTGACAACCGTATACTTCCATTTGTTACCTCCTAGCCTTTGCTCTTGTTATCCATTTAACATTTATATTTGTCATAAACCCCACAATATGTTGTTTTTATATTTTTAACTTTGTTTTTTCTTATTATTACATGTTTGTGACACATAATGAATGCATTCATTGTGGGGGATTTGTACTTGTACATATACATATTGAATCACCCTTTTTACTATCCCTTCTCCTCCTCTCTCCATCCCCACCCGTCTGCATAAGGCCTACCTCCCTGTTTCCTATCATCTGTCTTTTATTATTTATACTTTGGGTTTCTCACATAAGAGAAGCCATACAACATTTGACCTTCTATGTCTGATATATTTCATTTAGTATTATAGTCTCAAGATTTATCCATCTTCCTACACATGGTTCAAATTTGTGCTTCTTTATGGCTGAGCAGTACTCTGTGGTGGTTCAGTACCACATTTTCTGTGGCCCTCTATTTTCTTTATCCATTCATCTGTTGTTGGGCATACAGGCTATTTCCAGTATTTAGCTGTGGGTGTGCATACATCACTGTAATGTGATGTCTTTAACTCTGTGGGGAAGATAGCCAGTCAAATGGGATTTATATTTGTAGTTTTTTGAGGAGTCTCTGTATGATTTTCATAGTGGTTCATGGTTTTTATTTATAGTCTGTTATCTTTTAAGGATAAGATACTAGTAATGTTTAGTATCCCACAGAAACACTTCTTGATCCTTTCCCTGCCAGTCTTTCTACCCTCATGTCATTCATCTTCACTTCCCCTTTTGATGCCTCCATACTAAAGACTAACAACTTGCTGTCTCTCTTCCCTCCTTCCCTCTCTTCTCTTCTATCCCCTCTCTACCTGCTTCCCTGCTGGGTTAGGTTGATCCTCTTCTGAGATTTATCACTTAGTCTCCACATTGCTTTATAGCATCTATCAGGCTGTGGTATAATGACGACTTTCAGGCTGCTTATGAGCAGGAACTATATCCACTTATACCCAGAACCCTGCAGTTATAGGCACTCATTTTCTAATGAGTGATAGAAAAGTGTGATAGAAATGTTTTGAGAATTTGGTCACATGACAAACATTAGTACCTTTAATTGTCTCGCTTGGACTCTGCTGTAGCTATTGTATGTTCCTATCATTCCAATGCAATGGCACTTTGAGAAAGTCATGAAGATGTGGGATCTTTATAATAGATATGAGCTTTCTTTTTCTTTTGCAGTATTGAGGATTGAACCCAACGCCTTCACATTGAGCTAAATCCCCAGCCCTTTCTGTTTTAATTTTTTACTTTGAGACAGGGTCTCACTAAGTTGCTGAGTTGCCCAGGCTGGAATAGAATTTGTGATCCTACTACCTCAGTCTCCCAGAGTGCTGGGATTACAGGTGTGCACCACCATACCTGGCTAGATGTGAGCTTTTTAATACTCATGGGAATTTAAAATGTTGTGTATTTTATTGATAAGAATACAAAAGTTAAAATTAATGAGAAAGCTGATCAGTAATTTGAAACACTTCTATTTTTTTTTCCTGGTTCTGGAGGTAGAACCCAGGGCCTCATGCATGTGAGGCAAGTGCTCTACCATTAAGCCAAACTCCCAGCCCTAAAACAAGTCTTTTTCTACTTTATTGATGTGGTTGTAATTTTTGTCAACTCTAAAGCAGTTTTCCTTGGAAGTGCATTAGGGAACAGTGTTTAGCTTTCATTAGTTGTTTGTTTGTTTGTTTGTGGTACCGGAGATTGAACCAGGGTCCTTGCGCTTTCGAGGCAGGTGGCGGAGCCACTGAAATAAATCCCCGGCCCTAGCTTTCATTAGATTTAAGTAGCGGTAATTTATGAAATGGTAGCCTAGTGTCTTTAGAGTTTAATTAATGTTTTGAATGTGATTAATTTACCACTCAGGGAAAATGTTAACTACTTAGGAAAAAAAGACAAAATATAAGTTATTATGAGGCCTTTACTTGAAACCTCATTAAGTAGCCAACCAGAGTGTTATTTTAAGTAAACTGTATTAGAAGACTCTTTATCTGTATCTTTATTTAAAGTTCTATTAAATAAAATTCCTAAAAAAACTGAACGATCTCTCTCTCTGTCTCTGTCACATACACATTTGGAAACTCATGCTAAGATTTATTGAGTCACGAGTCTACAGCAGCAGTTACTACTTTGGGTTTTTTCTTTCAGTGAAAGATGTCATGTATATCTGCCCATTTATGGGAGCAGTGAGTGGAACCTTGACAGTGACGGACTTTAAGATGTACTTCAAAAATGTAGAGAGGGTGAGTGTTTTTAGTGTTTTATTTTTAAAAATGATTTGGAACCAGTAAAAGAAGAAAGTAAATAGTCCCCTGAAATCCCATCACACGGGCATAACCAGGGGGTGAGTTTTAATATGTCACATTTGCAAACAGATTTTCTATCTTAACCAAAAGGCATATTAGTTAAACCTGGAGGGGGAGGTTTTCTTGTAGTCTCAACATAGACCTCATAAGGTCTGCTGTAAATCAAACTTCAGTTTCTTAGCTGGGACAAAGAGGAAATGCCAAAGTAAACAAACATGTTTCCTAGTCCAGCAAAAACTTAAAAGATGGAGACTCTGTTGACTGAACTGGAGCGGCATTAATCTGAACTTTTAAACCTAGGACCCACACTTCGTCCTTGATGTTCCCCTTGGAGTGATCAGCAGAGTTGAGAAGATTGGAGCACAGAGCCACGGAGACAATTCTTGTGGTATAGAGATTGTGTGCAAGGTAGATCCAAACCCAAGTAAAACTAAAAGGGAGTGATCAGCTTAGAACTTTCTTTGACTCACCCTTCCTGGTCTTTGATAGTAAGAATAACTTTTACTCTTCATAATCCAGCTGTTTTCCGGACAGCAGCTCCTTCAAATCTCATATCAACTAATTGAAACCATCATAGAATGCTTTGATGTAATCCCTTTCTGTTGAAATATTTCTAATTAACATGATGTATAACCCAAGTGCTAACATTGTTACATCCCAGAAAAATCAAGAGGAAAACAGAGATCAGTGCTGTTTTTGAGTTTGTTGTTTCAAGACTACTGTTCAGAACAGTGAATGGTCAGAGGCTCCCTAAAGAGACAGCAAGGTTCTTTAAATGCTGTCATTAAAGTTTCTTGGCTATGTTGCAATTTTCACTTTGTGCTGTGCTTATTTTTTATTTTGCATCCTTCCTCCAGTGAGTTAAGTAGAAATGTGTGTGATAAATTTCATAAAGAGTAGTCACTTAAGAAGCATCCTGAATGAATATGTTTTATTCACTACACTGAAGGGCCAATGGAGGCCCTTTTATTATTTGGCCCTTCACTGTAGTGAATCCATTTTTCCAGAGTCTTCCAGGTTGAGAGCCTGGCGCCTTACTGGGCTCACTTTTGGCACTTCATGGCAGTTGTCCTTCTCAGGCAGGCTCGCACATCCAGAACACAGCCAGCAGCTAGAGAACGTCAAGCGGAGGGGTGACTTGGTTGCTTCTGCGAATTTGAAAGTGGTCATTCCCTGTCTTATGACTCTCGGGTAGCTTCCCGTTCTCCTCGAGCTGAAAGAAATGCTCCTTGTCCAGACCCCACGTGGCTGAGCCTGATTCACTTTCCTCCGCAGCTTCCCCTGAGCCACCCTCGCTTCATGCTTGCCTCCCAGTCCGGTTTCCTTTCAGGGTTCATGTTTGCCTCACACCCATCCTCTCACACACCAAGATCTTTTTGGGTTTTTTTCCTTTTTTGTGGTGCTGCAGAAGGAACCCAGGGCCAGACACATGCTAAGTATGCACTCTTCCAAACCAGGACCTCTGCACATGTTCCTCTTGGCTTGGAATGCTTTTCTCCCCAGCAGTCCTAAACAGCAAATCCCTGCCAAGGAGTGTGTGTGTAGCCAGGATAGCTAGGATGGAGGGTGCAGCAGGAAATCATGCTGCTCTGAACAGTGTCCTGTGGCTGTTTTACTAAGATATTTTTGTGGCAAGGATGGGCATTTGCTAACAGCTGATGTGTTTTCTAACTTAGAGTTACTAAGGCTCCCAGCCCTCTTGGCTCATATTTAAGAGCCTTGTAAGATGTGGGATATATTTTTTAACAAGCAGTATACAATTTGAAGGTATAAAAGCTATGGATAGTAAAAAGTAAGTGTCCCTCCCCAACTCCCAGCCACCCTGTTCTACTCCCTGCAGGTAGCACAGTTCCTAATTCCTAACATACACCTTCACAGACCCCGCTGTGTTCATAACCATGTATGTCTTGTCTTTCTTTGAAAATGTAAATGGTAGTATATTATATGCACTGTTCTGTTCCTTTCTTCTTCCCCTTAACTATGTATCTTGGAACTTCTTTATATTAGTACGTATAGAGCTGCTTCTGGTTTTAACAATTCTAGTATTCTATTAGCTGTGTTATAGTCCCTACTGATGGACATATGAGTGATTCCCATTCATTTGCTGTTATAAATACTATAACAACAACAACCTCTCCACTTCCCAAATTGCTGCTGCTTTAATTTCTTTGTGGTCATATTTATTTCCAATTTCATATAATGTTAAAGAAGAGTGAGATTTTTGTGTTTAACTCATAGGGGATGTATACTTAAAAACGTTGGAGGCAATGCTCAAAACATTGTCTTGGTGGGCCAGGGATTTAGCTCAGTGGTTTTGCCGCCTGCTGCGCAAGTGCAAGGACCCGAGTTCGATCCCCGGTACCAAAAAAAAAACCATTGTCTTGGAAAGAAATCATATCACCAGAGCTGTGCTGAGTGGGATCATTTCTGCCTGCTTGTGCCTGGGCCTTTGTCCATCAGCTTGTATTCAAGGGGCATTTTAGCAAACAGTGATTCTGAGAAATACATATTGCTGTAAGGATGTCACTGAGGGCCCCAGTCCCTACGTGATACAGAGTCTTTTCTGTGAGTGTGGAGGGGAAGACTCTGCCACATTCTGTGTATAGATGGTGTGGATTTTATAGGTGGCTGTTTCAGCAGCTTGAAGTACACAACTAATTCCATGGCACACCTTTTGTAAGTGCATGTACAGGGCTTGATGGTAGAGCTTTTGTATATAAGCCTTATTCTTTGTTTTCTCTTATAATTTTCCCCCATACATATCCCCTTTATTCCAGTTTCCTTGATTTTTAAATATCTCTTTAAAGATACTTTCGTTAATAGAAGGAACATAAAATGAGAAATGAATAAAATATTTTATTTATAGCATGGTATGTGCCTCATAAATGCCCAGTACATGTTGAATAACTGAGTTTTGCTAATTGTTTACTAGGATATGAGGAACTTGCGACTTGCTTATAAACAGGAGGAACAGCGCAAACTTGGGATATTTGAAAATCTCAATAAACATGCATTTCCTCTTTCTAATGGGCAGGTAAGTACACCAGGTAAGGGTTTTCTTAGTGTGTTTGTGGTAGTTCTGTAATTTCATGTTTAGTCATTCTCTTCCAGGAGTTTTCTTTATCTCTTTTTCTATGTTGGTAACTAAGAGTAAATTATTTGAATTTTGTCAGTTTTCTATAATGATAAAGAAAAGCTACCAATTTTTTACTTTAAAATTTACAGATTAAAATAGGAATCTTAATACAGTCAGCTCATATCAGAATGAACAGCTTTAATACTGGGTGTGTGAAATAAGATAAATACTGATATGTGCTTTGTGGTTTTTGTATCCAGGCACTGTTTGCATTCAACTATAAAGAAAAATTTCCAGTTAATGGATGGAAAGTTTATGATCCAGTAGCTGAATATAAGAGACAGGTAAAGTATGTTGCTTATCAAACTGAAAATAATAGGTTGAACATCTTTTTTCTCTTCTAAAAAGTTAGAGGAGAAGAAGCTTTCCACAAGTTGTACTTGAGCATAACTTCTCTGTCTTCTGGGTGCCCTGTTCTCCTGTGCCAGCCCTTTAACTCTTGGCACGGTTGTTCATCCTTTTCCAGAGAGTGAGGAGAACTAAAGAACAGAGGTTTCCAACCGAATCTTCTAGATGGCTTCTATGAGATGATCCGGTTGTGATGAGGAGGGTTCCAAACCCCTGACTTAGGTTTGGTTTGGGGAATGTGGTGGGACTATCTTGGTAGGGCATTGTGTTCTTGGGATTGGGAATTCCTTGGAACATTGTGAGCTTTTCCACTTCTTCCAGTACATTCTTATTGTCATGACATAGACTTTTAAGTTAAAACCAAAAATAAGAAATAGGTGTGATTCATGCTTGATACTTTATCAAAATGGAAAAGCACGTTTCCCCCTCCTCTTTCTTCTCTACCATTCTACAGGGCTTGCCAAATGAGAGTTGGAAAATATCCAAAATAAATAGTAACTATGAGTTCTGCGATACTTACCCTGCTGTCATTGTTGTGCCAACCAGTGTAAAAGATGATGACCTATCAAAAGTGGCAGCCTTTCGAGCAAAGGGCAGAGTCCCTGTAAGTAATAAACATTGTCATTTAGATAGAAACATGTACTTCATTAGATCTAATATGGACAGATGCAGACAGAAAATCCAGCGAACAAAATGGAAAATAGAAAAATAAGCTTAGAAACCTGAAGATAGCCAATGGGGATGGTGCACACCTGGAATCCTAGCACTCAGGAGATTGAGGCAGGTGGATCACTGTGAGTTGGAGGCCAGCCGGGGCTGCACAGTGAGTTCAAGGCCAGCATGGAATACACAGTGAGACCTTGTTTCAAAAAAACAAGCAAAAAATCCCTAGAAAACAAGTTTGAACATCTTTGATTCTTAAGAAGTATGTAAACATTCTTGTTTGCTGTCTCCAACTTATATAATTTCCTATTTCTAAGTTATGCTCTCGAAATATAGTAGAAAATAAAAAAGGAGTAGCGAGAAAGAGTATGCTGTTGCATTAACAGTTTACACCAAATCATCCTAGAGAAAATACATTCAGTTCATGCTGAGCAGAGTGCTAGAGCTGTGTGGGAGAGCACTGTTAAACAATCATGGGCAGCAGGGTGGGATGGATTGCCCACCATTTGCATCTGGTATGACCCTGAGTCACTGGGTCCGTGGAGGAAAACAGGAGGTTTGGTGACAGAGTTTTAGGTTTTATAAGAGACTGTATATTCACTTTGTCCTCACCCTGCCACATTTTTTAAAATTAGGAGACAAGATTAAACTAGTCAATCAAATAGAAATGGGGCTAGATTTTAGTAATAGTTTCACTTAGGTTTTATTTTGCCTAGAATCATAGAATTTGAGAACTCACCTGGTCAGACATGTTTTAGCCTGACCAAAGCATTGAGTGCTGTGATTGGTCTGTCCACTCTCAGCTTTGAGGAGAATCTTCAGGAGAAACTGCTTTTCCTACCACGTAATGCTTCTGGGACTGTACTGATATCTGTTGCTTCCAAACACTAGGTGTTGTCATGGATTCATCCGGAAAGTCAGGCAACGATTACCCGCTGCAGCCAGCCACTGGTGGGCCCCAGTGATAAACGCTGCAAAGAGGATGAAAAGTACTTGCAGACAATAATGGATGCTAATGCACAGTCACACAAACTTATCATCTTTGATGCCCGACAAAACAGTGTTGCTGATACCAACAAGGTACTTTCTTTTTTTTTTTTTTTTTTGCCGGGGATCGAACTTGGATCCTTCCACTTGTGAGGCAGGCGGTGGAACCATTGAGCTAAATCCCTGGCCCAACTTTCTTGATAGCACTGCAGAAACATAGGCTGTCTTCCTATGCACTTCCTGTAAGTTGTCATGCGTTTGCAGCAGCTTGTTGGGCTCCTCCCCATCTGAAGTTAGAGGCTTTTCGAGTAGTCCATGGCTGTCCCTTCCTGGTTTGTACCCCATAGGGTCTTTTCTGCTTTTCCACAATCCTGTCTTCTGAATCAATTAAGCAAAGACTCACAGAATTATCTAAAAGATTATTTTAGTGAAATGATTGTGAGACCCTTGGAAGTCCCTCTAATTTAAGAAATGTAAGGATTACTTGATTAATTTGTATCTGGCCTGAAGCTCTTTTAGAATGGACTCAACCATACGACACTGCAGATATACAAAGCTTTTATAAGTGACATGAAGCAGTGGTAGCATACATCAGGTGACAGTGTGTTGCAATATGATCACCTCTGCTGGCAGCTCCCCGTTGATCCCCACTAAGTGAAGGTGGTTTTGTGCTTTGTACCTAGTGAAAAGCTTTGAAGTCAGGCCTCAAGTCCCTGCTATTCAAACAGGAAGTTCTAATTTGAAGCATTTCTGTGTATTACAGATGGCTTTGCAATAGTGTGCTGCTGCAGGTAGGCATTTGGCAGTCAGAGGACCTTATCCTCTCCTCAAGTAATTTCAGGACTAGAAAGGTGACAACCACCCTTCCCATCTCATGCCTGCATCTAAAGTAACCCTTGAGTAGCACACATCTGATGTGTACCCACTGGGGCAGGGTGTTGGGGAATCCAAAGCCAGAAGAGCTGAGGTGCTGCAGGTAAGGGATGTGAGCTCTGTGTGCTGGGAAGCTGCACAAAGCAGGTGGCTTGGCATGGTCAGCGAGCAGAAATGGGCCGAGTGTTTCAGGCAGCATGAGTGCCCATCCGACAGTGGGGCAGGGCATGCTATTCTCTAGAATGGCAAGAAGAAGGATGTCTAGGCCCCTGGTCATTGCTTCACCTTGTGCCCCTCTGCAGTGCTTGTGATCTGACTTTGATTTTCTTGTCAGCTTTCCTCAATGATTATTTCATCATTGACCACAGTCTCCAAAAAGGCAGCCTACCTCCCCCATCTCACTGTCCTTGGAAGCTGTTACCTTCTATTTCAGGAGCAGAGAAGCCATTAGACATACACCCAGCCACCTTTCTCCAGCACTTGAGTGCCTGCCATATGCCAGACATGTGGTTATCCACTATGGCATGAAGGAAAATAAAGTATGCTTGGAGTGGATGTGGAAGGAACCTGTGCATTTGCTGCAGGACCCGGGACAGTTATTTCAGCTCTCCAGACCGCTACCACTTTGTTTCTAAAATGAGAATGACAATATTTCCTACTTTGGAGCTGGTGTGGAAGTTAAATGAGGAAAAACTATAAAGGGTCCAGAACAGTGTCTGTCACTCGCTGAGAAAGCATTCAGCTCAGATGAGCTGCCGTCGTTACAGACCTCTCATGGACTACTCCATTCTCTTGGCTTCTGTGACCTCACACTCCCTGCGTTCCTCTCACTCTCCAGCCTGGCCTTCTTGGAATCCTTGGCTGGTTCCTCTTCCCCTTCCCACCCACCCTTCAAATGGGAGTGCTCCTTAACTTGGTCTGGGGCCTCTTTGCTACTCTGCGCAATCTCTCCAGCCTCTCCCCTGGCTTTCAATGCTAGGACTTTCAATACTGTCTGTATGCTGAGTGTGTCTTGAGTCTTACACCGCAGTTTCTATCCTGTGTTGAGAATGAATTTCCTTCCCATTGTATGCTTCACATCTCCACTTGGCCATCTCTCGAGATACAAGATCACAGAGACTCTATCAACATAAGAATCAGTGTGGTGGAGTGGTAAGAACCTTTGGCTTTGGACTTGGTTATACCTGGGTTTTTCTCCAGGTGCTGCCACTTGGTGCTCTGTAGAACTCTGGGCAAGTTACTTAACTTCTCTCTAAGCCTCAGTTTCCCACTTCTGCAAAATGGGAGGTAGCACCAGTGTTTCATGTCAAGGCTTCCATGAGGATTAACATGAAGGGAGAATGGTGCACATAAGAACTCGGCCTGGTGGTGAGTGTATGGCCAGCACTCAGCACTTGATGCTGATGTGCCTGTAGTCCTCAGTGGTCGAGGGGGTGACTGGGTGTCTGGCCTGGAGGGTGAGTTAGGTGGCATCAGTTACTGCGATGGGGGAGACTGGCAGAGGAACAGAACAGGCAGAAGAGAGAGGAGGCTCTTGGTTTCCGGGGGCTCATATACAAACGTGGTAGCTTACAGCGGCACAAATGTGTTCCCTCACAGTGTTGGAGGCCAGCAATGCAAAACCTGCCAGAGCTGTGCTCCCTCGAAGGGTTCCAGGAAAGAGTCTGCTACTTGCTTCTTCCAGCTTCTGGTGGCCACACCAGCGTTCCTGGGCTTATAGCCACATTGCTATAATCTCGCCATCTGTCTTCATGTCCTCTTCCTCCGCCTCCTCCTCCTCCTCCTCCGCCTCTTGGTTTCTGCATCTGTTCCTCTTTCTCTTCTAAGGATACTTGTGATGGCATTTAGGGCCCACTTGAGGTAATCCAGGATTATCCCATCATCTCATGATCCTTAACTTGAGCTCACGTTGACACTTGCCAGGGTTTAATGTGAATTCCTCTGTGAGACCACTTTTTGACTTTCCACACAGGCAACCTTCAGCAGGAAGTCCTCTTTGCACCCCTTGGGTCATTAGTTAAGTCAGCTTTTGTATATCTCTCTATCCTTCTTGTCACCACTGTGGTATTATGCCAAAGAATTAACAAAATGTGAGAAAAGTGATATTCACGGAGGTGATCTTCTAAAACATTGAATAGTGCGAGGGCAGTTCATTGTATTTTACCCTGAGCAGAAGAGCTAGGACGCCAAATTCCATGTCTGCAGTGATTTTTACTGTAGCAGTGTATATGGCTAGAAACACGTAAGGCTGTTTATTTGTGTAAGTCCCCATCAGATCTTCTGCACATATGACTATGTCATATGCAAACGGAGAGCCTGACTTCTCCCTTCTCTCCTCCTGTAAGTTTGAGTGTTGGATATTTTGTCCCAGCAACAAGAAAAGTGACTAAGGCAGCCCCCCAGTTTGAGATAACTTTGCGACAGCAGCCTTGGGAATCTATCAATCTCCCTGTGTTCTTGGTATAAGTCCCACTTGGTCATGGTGTGTGGTATCCTTAATATGTTGCTGGATTTGGTTTGCTAGTGTTCTTTTGATTTGTATTCTTCAGGGATACAGGGCTGTCATTTCATTTCCTTGTGGCGTCTTTGTCTAGTTTGGTGTTAGGGCACTACTGGCCCTGTGGAATGAATTAGAACTGCACCGGGCCCATGAGTGGCTGTCCTGGGACGTGAGACAAAAGGCTGGCTGGCTGTAGTCAGGATCATCTCTCCACAACCATCACCGAGGAGAGGACCGGATGGCCAGTGGCATGGGCTGTTACAGTAAAAACCACCTGCTCCACTGGAGAGGCAGAGTGGCAGCACCAAAGGTGCTTAAGTGAGATTTTCTTTTCAGAACCCCTGACATGGAGAGCAGGAGTTTGGCTTTAACCTGTTGCTTTTGAAGCATGCGCCTGTGTGGGGAGGATAAGGCTCTGGAATGCAAAATGAGGTTGGGCCTGAAGTTGAGATTGTTGAGCCCTGGCCACAGCCTTGTGGGGTCGGGGAGGAGACGAGGTCTCTGGAGTGCAGTCTGTGCCAGGAAACAGGTTCAGTAAGGAAAGAATGGCTGAGTGTAGGAAGAGGCCAGGAAGGATAGAGGGTCCTAGAAGCCCAGAGGAGGAGGATGTGGAAGAGTTTCCAGGGAGCACTGGAGGAAACTGCTGATCTTGGAGTCTGCTAGCATGTGAGCGTGCTGTGCTCCCTCGCTGAGGCTGCAGTGCCCCCCCCCACCCGCAATGCATCTCACTGCAGCCGATGGGCGTGCTGGAGGCAGAGAGCTTGTTGCAGTGGCCTGGCATGTGGCAGATCTCCAACAACTATGGAAAGGTTGGTCTGAGATCAGGGAGCTTGAGTGCTATTTCCTATTGAGTGCTCCCTATTTCACAGTAGGGTCTTTGTGAATGTAATCAAGTTAAGATAAGGTCATATTGTATTAGGATGGGCCCTAATTAGATCCGAAGGGTGTCTATATAAGAAAAGAAGAGGCAGGGACACGGGCAGAGAGGAGAAAGGTAGGTGAAGATGGAGGCAGAGGTGAGAATGATGAGTCTATGCCCAGGAGGGCCTGGCACTGCCAAGAGCTGGGAGACCCAAGGAAGACCCTCCCTGAAGGCTCCAAAGGGAGCTTGGCCTGCCAGCACCTTGATTTCAGACTTCCTTCCTTCCCGATAGTGAGATGATGCGTGTCTGTTGTTTTAAGCTTCCCAGTCTGTAGGACCTTGTTCCGGCAGCCCTGAGACACTCATTCAGGGATAGGGAGGTTTTCTAAGAGGTGAGTTTCCTGCTGCTTTGGTGGCCTATATCTGGCAGCACTGGAAACAACAGAAAAACTAATTCCAGATGGGATGATGTATATCTTGCTTTTCACAGGCAAAGGGTGGAGGATATGAAAGTGAAAGTGCTTACCCAAACGCAGAACTTGTGTTCCTGGAGATCCACAACATTCACGTGATGAGAGAGTCACTGCGGAAGTTAAAGGAGATCGTGTACCCTTCCATTGATGAGGCTCGGTGGCTGTCCAACGTGGACTCAACACACTGGCTGGAGTATATAAGGGTAAAGGGTCCAGTCTTCATCTGCCTTGCTGTATCTCCGAGTGATTTCTCAGCATCTTTGCTGTGTGTGTGTACTTTCTTAGTGTCTGCCAGCAGTGCCTGACTTTGGTCTTTGTGGATAGCTTTGGTGACATAATCGAAAGGGAATAATACTTGACTCAGGTCAGATTTTTAACAGAATTTTGTGACCCTTTAATAAAGGTCCCTGTTTACTGGTATAGTTTTTCTTAATGTGAGTTTTTAATTTTACATAATGCAGACATTTCTTACTTGTTCTCAATTGACTTCGTGGCATTTTTTCCCTTTTTTGTCACTACTGGGGATGGAACCTAGGGCCCGATACATACTTGGCAAGTGCTCTACCACTGAGCTACACCCCTAGCCCTGTATATGACATTCTTGTTTGGTGTATTGACCAGGGCTTCCAAAGTTCTCCCCAGAAATATTTCACGCGGTACTTGAAATTGACCATAAACTTGTCTGTTGTGCCTTCTTCTCTGAAGATGCTTCTTGCTGGGGCAGTAAGAATCGCTGATAAGATAGAATCTGGGAAGACCTCTGTGGTGGTGCACTGCAGTGATGGCTGGGACCGAACAGCCCAGCTCACGTCTCTGGCCATGCTGATGTTGGACAGTTACTACCGGACCATTAAAGGATTCGAAGCTCTCATAGAAAAGGAGTGGATAAGTTTTGGACACAGGTTTGCACTGGTGAGTTGAGGCAGTGAGGTTATGCCTAACTGTTTTGCCCCACATGCATGCACCATACACAGCTTGTTCTGGCTTTCTCCTCTGTACCAAACCTGAATGTCTATAACAGAGTACTATGGACCCCATAGTACATTGCATGGTCCTGGTAGGGCTTTTTTTAAAATGTAGTTATGCCTTTTTAAACAAATGAGATAAAACTCACATAACATAAAATTAACTATTTTAAAGTGTTCAAACCCGTGCCCTATAGAACACTCTGTATGGTGTTGTGTAACCATCACTCTGTCCAGTCCTGAACATGTTCACTATCCTAAATGGAAACCCTCTCCAGCTTAAGCAGCCACTTCCATTTCCCCCTCCCTGTAGCCCTGACAACCACTAATCTGCTTTTTGTCTCTCTGACTTTGCCTACTCTAGGTATCTCATATAAGTGGAATCATGTGATATTTATCTTCCCATGACTATCGTTAATTTGCTAGGTATATGTTTTCAAGGTCGATATGTATGACCGAATAGTATTCCCTTGTGCATGTTATGCCACTGGGTGACTTAAACAACAGAAATGCATTTTCCCACATGGAAAGAAATTTCCCCATTTGGAGAAGTCCAAAATTGGGTTGCCAGCAGGGTTCTCCCAAGGGCGCTCTGCTTGGCTTGGCAGATGATGCCCTCTTGCTGCTTTGCATGGTCTTTCCTCTGTGCATGTGCCCCTGGTATCTCCCTATGTGTCCACATCTCCTCATCTCCTAAGGACATGGGTCATATCGAGTAGGGCCCACTCTAAGGGCCTCAGTTTAACTTCACCTCCTCAAAGGTCCTATCTCCAGGTATAGTCACATTCAGAGGTACTGGAGGTTAGGGTTTCAATTTTGGGGGCACGTAATTCAGCCCCCAGCAACCTGCTGTCATTTTGAGGAATATATGCCTAGGGGTGGAATTGCTGGGTCATCTGCTGGGGTGTGCTTGGGCTGTCTTTGTGTTTTAGTCCAGTTGGCAGCCAGTTCTTAGTCTGCAGCCTGTTGAGCTTTCAGGGATTGGTCTTCACCATGAATTGAATTGAAATACTCCCAAAGGCCCAGCGAGACTCGCTGTGGAATGCAGGATGGGTCGTGTGGAACCTTCAGTGGCCTCTGCACACGAGCCCCAAGTCTACCAGCTGTACCTGCCTTGTTGGGGATGACAGCAGGAGAGGCCCTTGCAGAGGGAAGGGGCAGGGCCACAGCCTTTGAAATGCGTGCCTGGGGCAGCACTGGGCAGACCCTTCCATAGGCTCTTGCCTGCTCCTCTCTTGCCTTGGTTCCTACCCTGAAATACGGGGGATGGGAAGGAGCTTGGATGTATGAGTGCTTAGGCCAGTGCCTGGCCCTTGCTAGTGTGGCTAAATTCAGACCTCTTGTGGTTATTTTTAAACACTTTCATGAACACCTCTGTTTCTTCCCCCTGAGCAAGGGCTAGGCTCAGTGGGGAAGAGAGAGGGTAGGGAACCTTTCCAGATGTTTTCTTCCATCTTTCTTCCTGAAGCTGTGTGTTCTGCTTTACTCAAGGGACAGCCATAAGGGCTGTCTGCCGAGAGGCCAGCAACAGCAGCACATGCCAGGCCTGAGCAGGAGCGCCCATGGTCAGGATGATGCATGTGTCAGTGCTGTGCTTCCATTCCTCCTTTCTACCTGGACTCACCATACCATGGCCACAGAGAAGGCAGAATGACCAGGAGAGTCATCGTGGCCACCCCTGTGTGACCAGTATGGTGACTTGTATCATCTTGTTTAACCTTGACATAGGCACTGTCATTGGGAGCTGGGGAAACTGAGGCTTCAGAAGTGTGGGTTATCTGCTTAAGGCCACACAGCTAGTTAGGTGGGAGCCAACATTTAAACAGTGCTTTTATGCCTGCACCAGCCCAGTCCTTGTACTCTACCTTACCTAAGGGTTCTGGGAGTGAACACCTGAGCCCCTGAGGCCGGCTGCCATCCTTGGTCACTTGCTGCAATCCCTTCCCTCATGGCCTTATATGGAACTTGCGGGCCATTCTTCCCTCACTCTTGCCTCACCCCCCCCCCACATTCCTGTTGCCGTAGAAATATATTGCTATACCCTAAAATCCCTTTTGATCCCAGAACACCCTCTGCTGTCACTCCAGTTACCTGCTGTTCTCTCCCATGCTTCTCAAAACTGTTGTCTGTACTCACTGTCACTACCTCTGTCCTTCCCACCTGTGTTGACCCCACTTAGTCACAGCCCTCTACCCTGCCTCATAACTGCTCTTGTCACAGTCTTCAGTGACTACCACTTTGCCAAGTCCTTGCCTTATTTGGCCTGAGCACTTGATGCTATTGATTCTTTTCTTAAGCAAACACTTTCTTTACTTGGCTTCTAGGTCTCTACCACCTTTGGAATTTTTTCTCACTTTCCAGTTTCCAGCCTCTTAATATAAGGCTGCATTTGGGGCTCTGTCTCCAGATGCTTCCTCTTCTCTTCCTTGTGACCTCAGCTACTCCCATGACTTCACACACGTGTATTCCAATCTGCTACCTCCTCTCCACTCCCAGTGCTGTCCCCTTAATTCAGGTCTTGTCATTTCTTCCGGCAGTTTACCAAGTAGCCTCTCTGCAACCTGTCCCTCCCAATCTGCTATCTCCACTGTGGCTCAGTGGAGCATTCTGTAAAACAGGTCTGATGCGGCCATTGCCCAGTGTGAATCCCCTCATGCCTTCCTGTGGCCTACAGAATCATGAGCAATTCATCAGTATGGCACTCAAAGCCCATGATCTGGCCCTAGCCCACCTCTCCAGCCTCAACTCTCCCCTTCCTCCTATTTCACCCCCTGAGCCTCAGCCACACTCAGCTACTTATGGTTCCTCATAGTGTCCCCTACCATGTGCACACTGCTTATAATAAGTTTCTGGCCACCAGGAAGCAAGCATCTTCTTGTCTTTAAAGTTTATCTAAATGAGGCCTCCACCACGACTGTCTTTTGTGTGACTTTCCCCTTGCTTCCTCCCCATCCCCACCCTAGGATGGTTCACACATTCCTCTGAGCCCTCACCGTACCCCATGCACACTTGAAAGCCCTTACAACACTTCAGCCCTTGTTATTTACCAGTAATTCTCCTTCAGTGAGACCACAAGTGAATTAGTCATTAAGCACAATTACTTATTTGTCTGGGTATTCTAGGTACGTAGCCAAGGACTGGGCCTCTACTAGATTCCATGAAAAGGCCTGAATTTCGGAGGGCCAGGCGTGCCATGTTGCATATACTACTAGAGTTCACTGGGTATCTACTGTCAGTGCAGAACTGTTCCCTAAGTGCCTTAAATACTAAAGAAGAGGTTGTACAAATTATTTTATATAGAGGAAGTGCAGAAATAAGGCAGTGCATGTACAGCTGCTATGGAACGGTATGGCAGTTCCTAAAATACTTAGCATTCCATATGATCCAGCAATTCCATTTATGAGTGTATACCCAAATGAAGTGAAAGCAGGGACTCCAGCAGATATTTGTACATTGGTGTAGCCAGTGGGATTAATCGCAATAGCCCAAAGGTGGCAGCTGCTCATCAGCAGATTGAGTGACTAAGCAGATTTGTCTGGCCATCCTGTGGAATGTTGTTCAGTCTCTACAAGAAAGGGGATGCCATCACGTGCTGCCATGTGGATGCACTCTGAAGAAATCGCACTAAATGAAAGAAGGCAGTCACAAAAGTATTGGTGTGTTTTCCACTTACATGAAGTACCTAGAAGGGTCAAACTCAGAGAAGCAGAAAGTATAGTGGGCATTGCCACGGACCAAGGGGAAGAGAGGTGGGGGCTGATGGTTAGTGGGGACAGTTTCAGTTTGGGAAGGTGATATATTCTGGACATGGATGGTGGTAATGGTTCCACAACAGTGCGAGTGTGCTTAAACTAGGGGTATCAGTAAATTTTTTTGAAAAGGTACATTATGGAGATATATAGCATCCATGTTTATTTTTAGGAGTATTTCTATTGATGAATTATTAATTTTAATATAAAATTTGTTATATATAATTAAATTTTATAAGTTTTATTAAACAATGTGTGCTCAATAGGAAAATAAAATATTAATTTTAATATCTAAATTTTAATATCTGATGAGTGTAGAATAAACATTAACATTTTCACCATCAACAATTTACCTGCTCACAAGATCTAAAAAGTAACAGCGGAAATAAATCCCTATGTGAACTACGCTGAAAATACAAACAACACTCTACCACAGAAATAATCTTGCTTCAATTATCACAACTAAGGCAGTCTTCGCACATGACAACAGCATGTCCCATACATAAGTCTCATTCACACTGACAGCACATGTGCTTAGCTTTCCTTTCCTCTTTGGCAGGCCATATTTGTCACCTCACTTGTCTTCCTCTTTTGTCAGGAGCTTCCTCTTTTTTTGTTTGTTTGTTTTGTTTTTGGTACTGGGGATCCAACTCAGGAGCTCACCGCAGCGCCACTGAGCTATATCCCCAGCCCAGAACCTTCCTATTATATCATAACAATGTGCATTTACCAGGAAAATGAAATATCAAAAAAATGTGTCAAATATGTAATGAATGTTTAAAATAAACATCATTTTCTACATGAGCTGTTTGCTTACTAAATCTAAAAAATAACAATAAATTCCTGTGCACACTAAATAAAAATACAAATAAAACTTTACCACAAAAATAATCTTTACTTCAATTATTACACCTAAGGCAGTTTTCACACATGAGAACACCATGTTCCATACACAGGTGTTGCTTACACTGATAGCACATGTGTGTTGTTTTCCTGTCTCCTTTGGTAGGACACACTTGACATCTTGCTAGTCTTCTTGTTTCCTTAGGAGGTTCTTGTGATGTTTCACCTGTCTGTTCCCTGGTCTGCTCCAGAATTCTCTTGCAGAGTTCTTTGGGCAGATACATATTGTTCTTCCTCTGTTGTAATTGATCATTTATCAGTTCCAGCCCCAATCCTCTAAGAAAATTTCTTTGTGATATTTTGTGCTCGTTATTTTCTTTGTAAACTATGAAACTATTTATGCCTGACATGTTTAGGGTCAAGTAAAATACAACCATTGGTCAACATTTTGTATTTTGAGTGTCATCAAAGTTGCTGCATAATTCATCAACAACATCTACTCCGCCTTTTGTTTTATTGCAAAATGTGACCATTTCTGGCTTCTTTTATGTTGAGGAATCACTATCTTTTTTGTTTGTTTGTTGTTTTGAGAAAGGGTCTCTCTATGTAGTCTACACTAGCCTTGAACTCACTATATAGCACAGGTTGACTTTGAACTCATAGGATCCTCCTGCCTCAGCCTCCTGAGTGCTGGGATTACAGGCATGCACCACCATGCCCACCTGGCTTCACTATCAGTCTTATCATCATGGTGTAATGTTGAAAGTATCAATACTTCTTTGTTTTTCTTCACCATATAGGATGCCAATGTTAGGTCTTTCTGAAATCCAAAGATTGTAGTATATATTTCTCTATTGTGAACTTGCAACATTTTTCCAGGACTCTCTACTTTGTTCTTGGGAAAAGTTCTGTGCTGGCCAATTGGTGGTTTTTTTAACAAATGGGTAACTTGTAAAACAATTATTGAGTATGACATTTGGGTTACTTTTTGAAATAGATGCAACAAGTCTGTTCACAACATCATACAGTTTATTACTACACAAATAAAGACCTGGTGGCTGAGTTTCAGGATAAATTTCTAAATTCAAGGTGTAAAATGCCTTTGCATCTACCAGGGCATATATTTTTATACCATATTTGGAAAGTTTATTTGGCATATATTGCCAAAACCTTCAACAACCACTAAATGATGCAAGTTATCTGTCAATTTTCATGTATTCAATGTATAAATTGCTTGACAGTTCGAAACAAAGCTTTCAAAAAATGAGCAAATAGCAGCCAGAAGTTATGGAAGTGGTTGGATTTTTTTTCTTTTTTCTTTTTCCTTTCTTGATGAATTTTTTGTCATCATAATGTAGGCAGTTTTGAAAGAAACCAAATCTCTTGAGTGTCATTGTTCTAAAAATCTCAACACCACATCTGTCACTTCTCCATGAATCTTTTAGATTCTGATTAGCATAATTAGAATGATAAAGCCCTGCTATGAAGGGTTTTAGTTCATATAGTGAGGAGTCATGATAAGTATATTTTTGAATATTACTATTGATGCACATAGAATGTTTTACTTGTATATCATTATTAGTGTATCTCAAAACATCTTGTAGCATATTGTTTATTACAAACAATTTCCAACATTGAAACAGTGTTGCCATTCCGTCCAGTAGGTTTCACCCCTGGCAAGAACCTAATAACATTTTCCAACCTAGTTCTAAAGTTGGATTGTTCAGATATACATGACCATTTTGTAGCATTTTGTTTGTTTGTTTGGTATCAGGGATCGAACTCGGGACGTTGTGCTTGTGAGGCAGGCATCCGAACCACTGAGCTAAATCCCCGACCATTTTGTAGCATTTTGACTAGTCAAATGTTTATTTACATTACTGCTTTCTTCCTCATCTGAATCAAGGTCCTCATTCTGTACTTCTGTACTTCTCTGTCATATCTTCTTGTGAACTTCTTTGCCTTACATGATCCAAGTCATCACTGGTAGCTGAATCACCTGATGACTCACTTTCAGCCCCCCCAAAGTTGTAAAAGCAGATTTTCATATAACATTGTAAAGAATTGGGCTATTTCTACAAAAAAAATAAAAACAAAATATGTAATAAAAAATTTATAAATACACAAAAATGGCACATAATGTGGGTAAAACTTGTCCATTTACATTTTGATACATGTGCACACACCTTGCTGTTCGTCATACCAAGTGAGTGAACACAAAGATTGCTTCCTATATTCCCCCAGTGCCGCTACCGAGATGCACAGCTGGCTACCGTTAAAGTACTAAAGTACATATTTTCATTAGAAAAATACAGTTTGGGGTGTCTTTTACCCACCATAATCCCCCTTGGGGTTGCCACTAAACTGTACACTTTTAAGTGCTAAGTGATTAAATGGTTAAAATGGTAATTTTTATATGTATTTTACCACAATTAAAATGAAAAGAAAGCAATACACTGTTACTCTGAGATACTGTCATTGACTTGGACATTTCCTTGTTTTTATATCTTTCCAGATGACAATTTCGTGGATCGAGTATTTTTCATTCTCTCTGTGCTAATACACCAATTGTGTTCTGTCTTGATGATTTTTTCCCCTTATCCTTTCATTTAGCAATCAGGTTATTTGAAGCTTCTCTTGAACTGTTACTCCTTAGCTGTCTTTTTACTTGTGGTGTTTTTAGTGCTGTTGGCAATCCTGTTTATGTGGGTGAGGATGTTACCTTTTGGTATGAATTGCTAATGTAAATATCAGAAGTTATGAAAAGCAACACTGCAAGGACTCCATCCCATTAACATTTCAAGAGAGATTTTGGCCTGCTCTGAGTAATGCAGAATTGGTTAAAATTTGTTGGTGGTTAATCACAGTTTTGATTGTCAGACTTCCTGAAATTTGTGGAAAACAGAAAAATGTTTTTACACTTGTGAAGAAAATGGCATTCGTGATATGCTTTACAGATTGTTCATTGGTACTCCTGCATTGGTCCTGTGCCCTTGGTGTAGTACTTGTTCTTGCACCGAAAAGTCAGCCAGCCGGTTGCTTATCATTTCTTGATATCAGCTTTCGAAAGCGATCAACATGTAAAAATATAGTAAATGGAAATTTGGTTTCCTGACGGAAATGAAAGTCAGTTCAATTTGATGAACATTTTTGAGTGCTTTTCTTTCAGCATTGGGAATTGAACTTGGGGCCTGTGCATGCTAGGCAAGTGCTCTACCCCTGAGCTACATCCTTAGCTGGTAGGCTTGATGAGATATACAGTACTCTTGCCAAGAGGCAATTTAAAGTGACTTTCAAGAAGATCATAGGACTCACAAAGCCATTTAACCTTTTGTTTCTTTTCAGCGAGTGGGCCACGGTGATGACAACCATGCAGATGCCGACCGATCACCCATATTTCTTCAGTTTATTGATTGTGTTTGGCAAATGACAAGACAGGTGAGAAATTTCAGGTATATTTCTGACCTATAGACTTTTCAATTCAAATACATCTTAAAGTTGAAGATTAGATAAGTGCATTAGGCAGCTTTTCACTGCTATGACAGAATGTCTGGGAAAGTCATCTTAAAGGATGAAAGGGTTATTTCAGAAGTTGCAGTCTATGGTCGGCTGGCTCCATTGCTTCTAGGCCTGTGGCGAGGCAGACACATCATGGTGGAAGGGCATGGTAGCCAGGAAGCAGAGAAGGGAAGAAAGCTAGAGAGAAAAAGGCTAGGAGCAGATCCCGAAGGTCATACCCCTGTGATCTGCTCCCTTCAACTGGGCCGCAGCTCCCGTTTCCATCCTAATCATGCCATCAAATTATGATCTCATCAGTAACAAGCGATCGGTGATGAAGTAGGAGCCCAGTGAGTCATTCTCTTTCCTAAAGTCCATCAGCAAAAGTGAACCTTTGGGAATATGTTGGATCTCAACCATAACAATAAGCTTTCATTGTTGTTTCATTCAAAAAGGTTTGTATGTGTGTAATATATGAGCCTTTCTATTATTTAATACACTTTGATTCTAATTCACTTAGAAATGTAGCAGAAAATTAGACATAATCTGTTTCACACCCAAAGTTACTTTTCTTCTACAAATGGTTTTTGTCAAGCATCTTGTCCAGCAGCTATGCAAACCAAGGCCCTGCTGCTCCATTTTTATGTCAGGTTTAGGGAACCTGCTCAGTCTCCTACTACACAGTCAATCTAAGATTTGGCCAGATGGTATAAATGGGATATGGCTAAACTCCTAGTAAATGGAGTCAGACCAGGAAATTCAGAAATCTCCATACTCTGCCTCAAACGACAGCCCCTCAGGCCTGAAGGTCACCAGGGGAAACGTGTGTCCTGGGCCAGACAGCAGAGAAGAAACTTATAGCATCTTGCCATTAGCTTCCTTAGTCCCCATCCCCAGCGCACAGGGCCCTAAGCCAGGAGCCACTCGGGTCCTCCTTCCCTAAGTTAAGCCCCACGGCTTCAGATTACAGCCGGCCTTAAGGCGCAACATACCTGGGTTTGGGTCTTAGCCTCAGGATAGGAGGTAGGGCCAGAGCAGTGGACCTGGAACCAGAGAAATGGAAGGAGACAAAGGACAGAGTCATTTTCCCCATGCTTGCTGGCCAGCCTGGCTGATGGAGAGGGTGCAGGGAAGAGTAAGCTGAGGACCAGGGCCCAGCACTCTCCCTGCATGTGCCAGAGCTCTGCTGGCCATGGCTGCTGCTTCAGTCTTGGGGAAGGGAACCAGCCAGAGGGCTGCTGGCGACCAGCAGGGATTCCCTCAACAGCATGGTGCTCATGTGTGAGCCTCCTGGGCCTTGCAAGGGCCGTGTGCCTATCCACTGCACAAAGTTGTCGATAACAGTCCTGCTTACTCACTGGGAGCTGCTGTTACTGAGGAGAGTATGTGCTGGGGCAGAAAAAAGTTGAGAACCCACATGTTTCTCCTGTCCCTGCTGTTGCCTCACCATCTCCTAGGGACTTGGGGCTCCCTGCAGACCCACTGGCTCTCTAGGGGTGGAGCCACACCCTGGTTTTAGAGCCCTCCAGAAGGTGCTCATGTGCACTTAGCTAGGGAGACTGCTGTGCTAGACCAGCCCTGCCAAGACTGCTGAGCAAACGGCCCTGGAGTTCTCTACCAGAGAACACACGCACACACACATGCACACACACACACACACACAGGAGTTCTCTACCAGAGAACACACACACACACACACACACACACACACCCACCCCCGATCTGAGTAAGTGGGCCCCGAGTGGAGCTGCTGCATTTCAGACAAGGCACACTGCAGGGGTCTGGAGAACACAGTTCTGTCTTCAGAAATAAGAGGGTGTAGGGAGCTTCTGTTAGCCACAGTAGGTCCCATGGAGTTCTCAGGCCCTCATTAGGAAATGACCCTTACTTTTAGACGCAGTAGCAGGGTGCCAACTGGGGCTCACGTTATGTGGGGGCCAGATCACAGTGGGTTTAAAATAGCGAGGCAGAGAGATGGCTGGTCTCAAAAGGAGGCGTGCCACCTGTATAAGTGACAGGTGACAGCACATGTGGGCTCGGAAGGCCTACTATATTACAGTTCCCCACACTTCCTGCTATTTGGAGTGATGCTAAACCAATAACAGAATTAAATGGTTGTTACCTTTAGATTAAGACAAAGCAGGAAACAGATTTTAGAAAAATTGCATAAAAAGGTTGAATGCAAAAAATACAATTCTGATGCCTCTAATGAGATAAACACCATTTTAGTGCTTCTAATAAGATAAGTGCCATTTTTGTGGATGTGAAGTAGTGTATTCTGTGCTGGGGATTTAGCTCAGTGGTTCCGCTGCCTGCCTCACAAGCACAAAGACCCGAGTTCGATCCCCGGTACCAAAAAAAAAAAAAAAAGTAGTGTATTCTTTCTAAATGCTTAGGGAGGGGTGTGTGTGTGTGTGTGTGTGTGTGTGTGTGTGTGTGTGTGTGTGTGTGTGTATTTAGTTTAATTCCTGGGTTGATGCTTGTAAATTGCTTATGGAAGGTAGCTTTATTGCTAGTATTGAGAACCCTTAGGAAATGACTGCTTCTTGGGGATGTCTTCCAGGTGTAGCTGGCTTTTGGGTTTTGAGTATGTTGTGAGATCCTACCTCTTCAATTTATTGTGGATGAGAAGTTGCTGCCTATTTGGTCTAGCCCCTAGCTCTGTGGCACTGGCCTTTAGTAGTATTTATGACCCTTAGTCTCAGTCTTGGCATACCAGGAAGAACAATTGATTAGAACAATTATGTCACCTTGGCTAAAGTAGTACAATCAGCAATAACAATAGCATCAAGCAGCCTAGAAAATGACAAACTGTAATAATTATTAATTTGCTACCTTTAACCATATGAACTAGATTTGTGGTTATATAACAGAATCTAAAACAAACCAGAAAATTATATACAGTTAATATGCCTTCAATATGGTGATTTTACCCTCTCAGAGAAAATTCAAAAGAGGTTAGGGGGAAAAATAGAGAAATAGAAGAAGGGGAAGAGATTAGAAGCAAGGCTGGATAGCCTGGGATTTAGCTCAGTGGTGCCGCCACCTGCCTCGCAAGTGCAAGGTCGCAAGTTCAATCTGCGGTACCAAAAAAAAAGCAAGGCTGGAGAATAAAGGAAGATTCCTTCGGGAAACTGGTGAAGAAGACAGGGCAAGAGAGAAGGAAGAAATAACAGAACAGAACAACAACAACAAAAAACCTAGAAACAATGTTCACACTCATAAAAAACAAGAACAAACAAGAAAAAAGCAAAGGAAAAAAATGTCCACATCAAGGTGTGTCTCTGCAGTCACTGGTAGACAAATTGGGATTTGTGTTGATTAATCCCAGCAAGCTAGCCATACATTTATGGCAGGGAAGTGGAAAATCCTAGCAAGCCTGCACTGTTAGTTCCACTGAAGTTCAGGCTGGTTTCTGGCTGTGAGGCTGGAACCCAATTTGTTCAGCTTGCAGCACTCTGTGTGTCTCTTGCCAGCTTGAACTCTGCTCTCTGCCAGCTTGGACTGGGTTCCTTGACCTCTTGCTGACTTGAACTCAGTTCTACCTCATCCTGATGCTGGGAGCCACTAGATGGAGCCAGCCTGCAGCTGCTCTGAATTCTTAGCTCGGTTGGCCCCTCTCCAAGATGGCGACTGGCCAATCACCCTCTCCTGGGGGACATCTGAACCCCAGTAACTCACCAGCCATCACAGTCTGCTGTGTCCACTGCTCTGTTCTGCTGGTGTGTTTCTCCTCAGAGGCCTTTGGGGTCGTCAGTAGTCACTGTGTCTGCAGGTTTGAGCTACCCCTCCCATGCAGCAAGTCAGGGCTTGGAGAAAGCACTGCTTGCTACCTCTTCTTTCTGTGTTGAGGTCTCTTTGCTCTCCCAGTGGGCTTCAGTTCTCACTTTGGATCCTTGCTGGGTTTCAGGGACCCACTTCCCTCCTTGTCTTCCTCACATTGCTGTATTCCAGCATCTGGACACCAAATCTTGCAGAGGCTGTTTCTCTGCTGTTCACCACTCCGCCATCTTCCTGGAAGTTCATTCTAGTATTCAGTTCAGCGTAATACAGGCCTGCATCCTAGTCTCTTCCCATAAGAACACCAGTCACATTGAATTAGGACCCACTCGTCATTTTAAACCAGTTACCTCTTTAGAGACCTTAGCTCCTAAATAGCAAGGCACTGCTTTTTTTTTTTTTCTCAGCATCATTATAACCCAAAGAGGAGCAGGGCAAAGAGGCACACACTTATCATCCCAGCACTCTGGGACACTGAAGCAGGAGGATTACAAGTTTGAGGTTACCCTGGTCAATTTAATGACTTAGTGAGACCAGTTTGTAGAGGTTTCAGTCCATAGCCAGCTGGTTCCAAGGCAGGGCAGTACGGGAGAGGGGCAACACAGAGGAGAAACAGCCCATGGCAGGGCAGGCAGAAAGCAGCCAGCATCAAGCAGCAGGCCTGCATGTGTGTATGTGTGTGTGTGAGTGTGTGTGTATGAGCACCTTCAAACTTCTTTCCTTTCTTCATACTACTTGGGGCCTATTTTTGTGTCTATTGTTTATTGGATTTTAAGAAAGAAATTGAGGTTTAGATTGGAACATTTCAGGTGCCTCTCACAGCTGATATTCTGTTCATGAATCCCATCACCTTGAAACTTAGGATTTGAACATGTGAATTTTGGAGGGACACAAATAGTCTGTGACACTCATATGGTTTAAAAATATGTCAGTAATTTGCTGGCTTGTCAGGAAATGTTTATTCTTAAATGTTTGAAAATATAATATAGGGCCAAACCCTACATCTTCACCTTTTCCCTTGATTTTTAAATCTTCAGTGTATGGGAACACTATATATTTGCTTAAAATTAATAAATTCTGTGGTGCCAAGAATCTTATGAATAGGGCATAACTAAGTGGTAGGGGAAAATGGTGGAAAAGTGGACATGGTGCACCTCCCCCTTTATAATTATAGCTGCTTGGAATTGGTGGCCACTTTTGAAGCTTTAGGGGGCAATGTCAAAGGCCCAGGAGAGGAATAACCAGTGACTGTTGTTAGCATTTCGTCCAAGGCCGTTACATTGTTAATCTAGGTCATCTAAAAATAAGAACATTACCAGTAAGAACATTACCATAGCTAGTTTCTAGAGGCAGTATTCTGTTGGGGATCCTTAAAAGAGAGCTGCATGTTTCTATGAGAAAAATCCCTAGGAAGGAGAGGGAGGTCAATATTTACTCAATGTAGTTGTGAATATAACAGCCCGGTGAGGAAGATCATGATTCCAGGTGGACTTTGGACAGTCCTGTTGTTTCTGCCTGTTGCTAGTCTAGTAAAGGAGGAAAGCTCAGCTAAAAAAATAAACTTGCCTATCTCTGATCCTGTTTGTCATTTAGAGATGTCAGGGTTAGTCATGAGAGTATGCAAATATCACTCTGGCTGGAGAATAGGTCTTTAATGTAAACTGCCTTAAAGGCAGATACACTGAGTGATTCTACTGGGTTCTGTTCTAGTTGGCATTGCTTCATTCAGTAGGTAATGAATATTTAACTGTGTTTTAAAATTAGAATTCTGGCACATGGCAGGTGCTCCGTACATGCCTGCTGCTGCAGTCATTATCATTATTTCCAGATGTCTCCTGGCTACTAAATGCCAGCTGCTGGCTAGAACCTGTTGACATTGCTAACAGTCTTCACTGGAAGTCTGCAAAATCCCATTATGAATGACCTAAAACAGTCGAGATGATCCTGTGGTTTTCTTTCCTTACTCTGTTAATACAATGAATTACAGCAGGTTTTTTTGTTTTGTTTTTTTTTTTTTGGTTTTTTGTACTAGGGATTGAACCCAGGGCCTTCATATTGAGCTACCTGTCCAGCCTTTTTAAAAAAAAAAAAATTATTTATTTATTTATTTATTTATTTTGGAACTAGGGATCGAACTCAGGACCTTGTGCTTGCAAGGGAGGTGGCAGCGGAACCACTGAGCTAAATCCCCGGCCCAGCAGTTGATTTTTTGTAATACTGATTTTCAGATGTTAAACCAGCCTTCTCTTAGATCAACCCCAGTTGGTCATGTCGTATTACTCTTTTCATACACTTCCAGACTCAATTTGCTCATATATTGGTAAGGATCTGTGGGCTACTGTTTGTGGGAAAGCTCTTTAGTAGACATAGAGCTACTCAGATCTGTTTTCTCTTCTGAAGTTGCTTTTGGCTCTATGGCTTGCTGTGCTTCCAGGCAGGAAGCTGGGACAATTTAGTGTTCCCCTCATTTATTTCCACTTCTTACTGTCACAGCCCTGTGTTGCCTGCTTCCAGTGTCTGAAAACATTCATTTTGTATACTTCATCCATCTTTCTAGTTGTTTCTGGCAGAAGGGTGAATCTGGGCTCTGTTCTGCCTAATGCGAAGTGGAAGATACATAAACATTTTAGTCGCTGAAGAGGACAACACATTGTGCTGCTTCTGGTTGTGTCTCAGCCAGATCTATCAGCTTTGACTTGAAACTGTAGATAAGTTTCACAGGACTCAGTCTGCCTTTGAATCTTTGAATCAATTCCAAATTATAGTATAGCCATCATTCAGAGAAATGTGTTATTACTTTGTTTTAGAAATTGAACTTCAAGACTAAAATTTGTTTTTCTGTCCACTTAAGTTTCCTTCAGCATTTGAGTTTAATGAACTATTCTTGATGACAATTCTGGATCACCTTTATAGCTGTCTCTTTGGGACCTTTCTGTGCAACTGTGAACAAGAGCGATTCAAAGAGGTAAGTAGTTTTGCTTCCCCTGTGGCCCAGGCACCTTTCCCAGTAAGGGCTTCTGGACCTGCTGCTCTAGACGCCCGCCCAGGGTTCTGGCAGCCCCAGCACAAATATCTTTATAGGGCTGGGACCCGTGAGCCCACGGCTCTCTAGAGAGTAGGACAGAATCCATGCTCCCTAGGGCCCAATGTGATGGAATCCGTTAATTTCTCAATGAAAAAGAAAAAAGGTAAATTTCTTGGTATATGAATTATATCTAAATAAAAGCATTAAAAATAAAACAAAAAAAGTGGAAGAACAAAGTTCATATATTAGAATTTAAACTGTATAGGAGGGAGTCCTAGAGAAGAAGAGACTAAGGGGTGAAAGGGAGAAGAGGTTGATCCGGGGGGACAATCAAAATATATTACCTGCATGTATGAGTCTGCCAAAATGAAACCCCATTAATCTATATAACTAGTAGGCAATAATAAAATAAAGTTTTTAAAGAATTTAAATTATGGGGGCCGGGGATTTAGCTCAGTGGTTCTGCCGCCTGCCTCGCAAGCACAAGGTCCTGAGTTTGATCCCTGGTACCAAAAAAATAATTTAAATTATGGATTTATCTGGTTTTGGGGGTACAAGATTTAATCTCCATTTAAAAAGTCAGGTCTCTTGAGATACAATTTTTATACCATGAAATTCAATCATCTGTCAGACACAGCTACTCAGGAGCCTGAGGTGGGGAGATTGCTTGAGTCCACAAGGTTGAAACCAACCCCAGGCAATGTGGTGAGACCCTATCTTAAAATAAATAAAAGTAAAATTCACTCATCTAAAATGTACAATTCAGTGGCTTTAGGATATTCATAGATCTTGCACCACCACCAATATCTAATTTCATAAAATGTTTATCACCCACAAAAGAAACCCCTGATCCATTATCGGTCACTTTTCATTCCCCTTGGACGCTGGCAACCACTAATCTGCTTTCTGTCTTTATGAGTTTGCATATTTTGGACATTTCACATAAATGGAGTCATTTAAGGGGTGGACTTTTATGAATGACTTCCTCCAAGTAGCACTCGGTGTTTTCAAGGTTCACTCATGTCAGAATTTCATTCCTTTTTATGGTGAAGCAACATTGCATTGTGTGACTGGACCACATTATATTTATCCATTCATCAGTTGATAGAAATTTGGGTAGTTTCACTTTTTGGCTCTTGTGAATAATGCTGCTATAAATACTCATGCACAAGTCTTTGTGTGGACATATGCTTTCATTTCTCCTGGGTACAAATCTAGGAACGGAATTGCTGGGTTGTACAGTAACTCTGCATCTAACCTATTAAAGAAACAGACTGCTTTCCAAAACATCTGTAGCATTTTACATGCCTACTAATAGTGTCTAAGGTTCCAATTTCTCCATACTTCAGCAACACCTATTTTCCTTTAAAAAAAAAAATCCTAGTGGTAGTATGGTATGGCTTCTTGAAATACGTCTTATTAGTGCCTATTCATTTTTTTGTATTAAATTCTTTTATTGGTACATTGTAGGTATACAACACAATTACATTTCTCATTGGGAATTGTACCTTTACATAATGCATCTT